CCTCTCCCTCTCTCCCTCTTTCTCTAATTCTGCCACTTTGTCTCTTGATCTCTCTCTTTCGCTTTCTTTCTCCATCTCTTTTTCTCTCTTATTTTCTCCCACTCACACTCATTAACACTCAAACACCACCCCCCACCACACACACACACACACACACACACACACACACACACACATACACTCACAGACGCACACACTCACGCACGCACACACGCACGCACGCACACATGCACACCCACACGAACTCACTTAGGCACACTTGAATCCCAGAACTAGATAATAGATTATCTTTAAAAAGCAGAAAATATCACGGTCACAAGCCATCAAACACACAACTCTTACGTGGACCTATTTTTTGTTCTTTACAACACTTTTGTGATAGCTGGTTTTAGAGAACTAGAGAAGAAATAAAAAGTGCCCCTGACACAACTCCATCGATATTCATTTTTAAATCTCGCAACGATGTAGAATCATAATATATTTATATCATAGGAACCACAAGTAAAAGTTCTATATCACTGTATCTAGAATAGAAACAATTGAAATACTTTGCAACAGCTTTGATATAGCTGTTACTGACAATTTACAGTCTAATAGATATTAATGTGTCATTGTCTTTTGTGTTTGCAACATTTTACACCTGCTTTTCGACAAGGTTTTTTGTTGTTTCTTTTAATTCTATTTTTTTTTATATCTCTTTAATTACTCTTCTCCTTTTTTTAACCAGACAGGGAAAAAAATATTCATTGACGTTCAATGTGGCTCCTAGTGAAACTATCTTAGTTCATCGAGAACAGGCACCAAGAGGAAACACTATCCATAATTTCGAACAAATGAACCTGCACCAAAGCACCTTCGCCTCCATTCCATTTTCAACCTCCCCCAAATTAATTCTCAAATACCACTTTGACACTTACACACTTGTGACTTTGTCTTTTACCAAATCTCCACCTGTATTTAGCATACTAGAACATTGCCATTTACAGGGAGGGGGGACTATAAAAATAACAAAAACAAAAACAAAAAACAATACAAAAAATTAAAAATCTAGGCCTGGACGAAAACCTCTAGCAGCGATGAAACTGAATTGGCCAAGTTTGAAGCCAGTCCCACAGGAGAGGCCTTAACGTGGAATCCACAATATAAAGAGAAATAAAAAATAAAACAAATTTATAACCGAACGAGCACTGCGATTTGGATGTGGACATACAGGCAAGGAGAATCGGACATTTTCAGAGACAGCAAGAGAGACTGGCTCTTGACCTGTCACTGGAGAGAGTTAGTTGACAGCCTATGCCAAATACGAGATCAAAGACGAAGAAAATTAGTAAGCATCCCCTTGTAGAAGTAGCCTTTCTTAGATGATCTTTCTTCTGCTGTCTTTTCTTCCTTGTTCTGTCTTATCAACGTCAATCATCTCTTTTCCTCGTCAAGTCCTATGTTTTGAAGACTATATATTCTACCCGTGGTTTTTCATTCTTCTAAAATGAACAAGCCAATTACCCACTTTCACGTGTATTTATGTATCATTTACTTATCTATATTTACAATCCAGTGGACCTCCCAAACCTGCTGTATGGCGCTGAGGTACCAAACCTTTACCAAGAAGCTTAACCATAATTTAATTATGAAATGACCAAGGAGAAATCTTGTCATAAAACGACACGATAAAATACCAGACATCGATGTTCTCAAAAGGTCAAATGCCAAGAGTCTGTTTTCTAAGCAAGCTAAAAAGGGCTCAGCTGTGCTGCGCTGGTCAGGTGGTAAGAATGCCTGCTTTTAGAATCTCAAAGGCAGTGTTCTATTCTGAAATGTCGTCCGGAAAGCGTAAGGTTGACCCACCAAAAATGCGCAACAAGAACGTCCAAAAAATGTCTCTGAAGGACTTCAACATAAATCCTTCGACATGATAGAGCCTTGCTCCCGACAAACCCAGTTGCAGAGCAGCAGTCACAGTGGGCAGCAAATCACAAGAGGCTTCACGTACAAGAAATGCTTAATCAAAGAGGGAAGCCCACAAGTGGAAAATAGAGCCTTTAAATGTTCAAAATGTGGAAAAACGTTTCACTGTTAAATTGGTCTCATCCGCCTCAGCGGAAGCTACAAGTCATTGTAACCTTTGACTTTTCAAATTCTTCTATTTCGCTGGAGAAATGTTCTCCTCTCCGGATGTATTAGTCATCATCAAACACTGACAGACGAGCTATTTGTTATCATTGTTTTTATTATTATTATTAT